GTTCAATCTGGCCCATCCTGTACTTCAGTTCGAGTATTTGTACACCTATTATATAAATTAGAAAACATCACGGTCACTTATTAATTATTATACAGTTGGTCTTCAAGTATACAGCAAACACTCCAAAATTAGGTTTTTAACACCTTCGTGTCTAACAATGATAGTGCCCAAGCCGTACAGTACCGTGGGTTTTATCTACTAGCATCTACTATAGTAAAACAATACATACAAGGAGATTCTGAAATGAATACATATACAGGGTGTCCCACTAAGGTCGGCGAGGTACGATATCATGGAAACCATAAACCTCAGGACTTCGAAGAAAGGAAATTAAGGACTAAATCGGCCAAGAAAAATTGATAGAAAATATTTTCAAGTTCATAAAACGACCGCTAGGGGGCGCAATCTCGATGATAAAACTTGAAATTCAATTTTTCTCGAAAATCCCTAAATTAAGGTACTGTTTCAATGAGAGAAATGCAGAGTTCATTGAAATTCGCGTCAGTTTGTTCTCGGACTTTTTTCCATATCTTGAAAAATAAAGGTGGGGGGCACTGGTGAAGAAATCATTTATGAAAACACTTTATCTCCGATATCCTTTTTCCAAATTCGATCAACTTTGGCTCATTTGGGAGAGAATTCCACACCAATTTGAACACTGAATTTGACATTGATCTCTAGTTCACACAGCGTCTACTAGATGGCGTCGTTCACCCAAAATTCTGTTTTTTCGATTTTTTCCAAAGAAATCAAATGGGATGCTACATATTTTGATCACCAGATCCAAAAACGCATAAAATTAGCTATATTTTGACGGAAACCGCGATTCGATATATTCATCCGTTTTCGAGTTATTTTATTCAAAAGAAATCATGTTCACATTACAAATCTCCCATTCCTTTACTTTTATCGTGATACCTATGAAAACAATCATACTTCAATGCAGATAGTTGCTGAGCAATTGTAATAGTAATGTTGTTTGACATCAGTGAGGAGATGGTAATTGCTTCAATTATTATTATTTTGCACATGGAACGGGAATATTAGATCAACACATGCAATAAAAGGCTGAAAATTCGAAAAATAAGCATTTTAACTCGCATTTTGATCAATAGCGCAGGTGAATATGATGAAGATGCTAATTATTTCGTTAAAATGCAGTATAACTTAGGATAACACAAATCAGAGAATTGGTTCAAGATTGAACATGATTTTTTTATAATAAAATTTTGTTATTCGAGAATAACTCGAAAACGGATAAAGATATCAAATCACGGTTTTCGCCAAATTGCATCCAATTCAATGCATTTTAAATCTGTTGATCAAAATATGTATCATTCCATTTGATTTTTTTGGAAAAAATAAAAAAAACAAAATCTTTGGTGAACGACGCCATCTAGTAGTCGCTGTGTGAACTAGAGATCAATGTCAAATTCAGTGTTTGAATTGGTGTAAAATTCTCTTACACATGAGCCCAAGTTGATTGAATTTGAAGGAAGGATATCGGAGAGCGTTTTCAAAAATGATTTCTTCACCAGCTTTCCCCACCTTTATTTTTCAAGATATGAAAATAAGTCCGGCAACAAACCGATGCGAATTATTATGAACTCTGCATTTAGTTTTATCATGAAGATAGCGCCCCCTAGCGGTCGTTTTATGAACTTGAGAATATTCTCTATCAATTTTTCTTGGCCGATTCAGTCCTTAATTTTTTTCCTCGAAGTCCTGAGGTTTATGGATTCCATGATATCGTACCTCGCCGACCTTAGTGGGACACCCTGTATATTGAATGATGAAATCATTGAAATCGCCGTGATTGTGTCTCCACAACGTAGTAAACACTCGTGCCCAAATTTAATTCAAATTCCTATTTTTTTAATGATGTTGCTATTTGAAAGTAATTATCTCTTGAGCTTGGTCAGAGTTATACTATTATTTTTTTGTAACACCCTGTTTTCAGGGAACATTGTGAAAACCTGTGATTCAGTAACCTAATTTTGGAAGTTTTTTCACGTGACACCGTGGTGCAAGAAAAAGTTAATATACGTATTATGCATTTGACAAATCATTTTATGCTTCTATGCATTTCGTATGATAACATTACTTTGAACAATATATTCATAAAGGTGACTTTTTTTTCGTAAAAAAACAAACAAAATGGTAAGTGATAAAACTTTTAAAAAGGCGAGGAAACATATAAATTCCTAAAACTGTAATTTTATTATAACTCTGAATATTCTAGTATGGAAAGAGAAGTATATAACTATCATCGTACGGTGATATGGTACAAAAGATGGTAATATAGCGCTGACAGTACGGAAATGCCGTACGTCATCTCAATACTTTTGTGCTTTTAGTAAGGTCTAAGGCGTAACATCTCCAGAGAGATGTATCGAATCACATCAACCCTGTATACACTGAGAAAAATGGGTCAAATGATTATTTCATTCAGAAATTTGTATTGATCACTAGCGAAACTATTACTGCCTGTGAAAAATAAAATAACTGGACCAAAATTATTGATTCATTTGGTATCGCTCACCTACCATAAAAGTTTCTAAATTTGAAACAAAGCGTCTACTGATTTGCGGTAAAACAATTAAAATAATCATTTTCATGATTTGTAGTGAATTCTCAACAATTTGTCTCAAATCATGTTATTGATGGAGTGAATAGTAATATCATTTGTTATGAATGAAAATGATTGTTCGTCAGAATAGAAACTGTTTGCAGCCAATCAGATGCTTTTCAACTAACAAAACAGCACCAGTTTGAGATTAACGATTCTTCATTGTGCAGAAATGAAAATTAATTGTCCACAACAAAACTACTATAGGTTGGTCAATAACAGTTGATTTGAGAAAAATGCTTTCGCATTCGCCATTAAATTGCGGTCCTTTCGATTTCGCAAATATATCTCTAATTGATAACCAGTTCATTCTCATTTCCAACAAATCAAAAACCACTTGGCCTCCATGAGCCGAAATCCATTGAGCCGACATCGTTGCCGATTGCTAGATATAACTCCCCAAATTAGGTACGCAAGTTTGAGATGTATTGGATAATTTTCTAACCTTATCAGTAGAATATCTAATTCAAATAGTTACATACCAGACATACAACATCAGATAATAGGTATATAGTTTCAGTCTTAACGTTTACTGATAGATGGCGATATATTATGAGGAAATGAACACTAATAACGCTAAGATCAAAGATTACCATTGATTCTCCTACAGACTCGTAGGCTTTTGTTGAAAAACAGAAAATGATTATATTCTTACAAGAGCTCATATTGATTTTTGATACTACCTACAGTACCTACCTAGTTAGTTATGAGTAATCAGAAATATCCTGATGAAAGGGTTCTTATATTTTCACCTAGTCGCCATTTTTTGTTTCTTCTTACCAAGAACTTGTAATGAATATCACGATGACATTCAATAATTAATTCTCTCATTCTCTTTTTTAATTTAGAAAGTCCACCATTATTGGCAACATCGCAATAATGTTCACCGATGGGCGGTGTGGTGGGGTCGATGTCGGCTCGGAGATGAGATTTCTTTTTAGTTACTGTGACCGGCTTTCATTCTGACCATAAAATATAGGAGATCAGGATAATACTTATAAATACTATACGAATTTTTGCTTGAATGGGGACTTGAGCGTTTCTACGAGGACTTTTTAGGTAAGTGTCAATATAATAATGATAACATGTGAATTAAATATAGGGTTTAGGTGAGGTTAAGGTACGGATGTACATCCTAGGTAAATAATTCATAGGATAGTTATTATAGTTGATGTTCTTATGTTCTTTGTCTCAGAAATCAAATGAAATTTCAAGCTATTGTGTTTGTGAATTCAGATCATACAATCAATAAAACAATTTAAGTCTTATAATTTTTTATGTTGCAGCTATGCCATGGGTAATAATGGAAATTGTGAAGACAGGCGAAGTGATGGAGGCTATACCTTCCAAATGGAATGATGACAACGATCAGATGGTTGTCTACCCTTCATTCAAAAAATCGCAGTTGGAAAAGGCAATCAAAACAGAAATGGAACCACAGCCATACTATAGAAAAATAACAAAGTTGTTTTGATGAGGCCACACCCGATTGAATATTTAGAATAAAAAGCAATGGGAACAAATTGAAAAATATCTGTGGCAAATAAATGATGATTTGAAAGATATAGACAATGTTCTTTGCAGTAATACAAACACCCAGTAGTAACAAAATTGAAACGATTTGCTTCCAACAGAAAACTGATTTGTCTCAAATAATGTGCTAATACATCCTGAATGAAACATACATTAATGGGCAATGAAGGTGATGCTAAGAGCTAATTGAGAGATGATTTGAGATTATACATTATGGTCACTTGAAGCAAATGCCAATCACTTGATATAAAAACGCGACCATTTGTGTTCAGCATATATGTTATCAGTTATAAATAAGTAAACATTTCGTCCTAGTTGAACAGAGTTATTGCTATAAAATAATCTCAAATCATTGGTAATTTACGTTGAAGATTTGAACTATTGGTTGTAAGTATTGAAGTTATTACCTCGGCAAAATTCTCGAGTTATTTGCTTCAAATGCATAGTTCACTCGTCCCCTATTTTGTTGAGGTTTTCGCTTGGGAGAAGTGGTTTTTGATTTGTGATCAATGAAATTTTTTCTCCGTGTAGGAACATAGCTTTGACCACATCTCATTCATCCACGAAGTGAAATAAATGATCTACTTTTATTTCAACATTTTCGAAAAAATTACATTTGACATAAATAATGCACTTGTATTGATCTGTTGAACTAGGATATGTGAAAATATACACATTGTTTGCATAAAAACTGAAAGTTCGCCATACAGGATTGAAATGTGATCAAACACGAAATGGTTACACCCATAAGTGTATCGTCTCGTCCTCAAATGAGCGGAGCGCGAGAGAGCGTAATGTCTAACAATCATCTCTAGATAATACCAAATATATCAAATCATCAACCCCTATCTTCATCACCTACCAAATTGAAGAAGCATGCCTTTACTAACCGTCCATCACAGTTGCAGTGCATCAGCGTGTTCATCCGCCAGTTGAACAGCCCGTACTTGGTTTCGAACCCCTCGATCCAGAAAGGGCAGCGCAGATCGTGTTTGCGACAGCACCTGTCCGTCCTGGAGAAGCCTCCCAGCTGGGTATACTTGTCGGCAGAGTACCCTTTGCCGCACCATTTCGTCCCTGGCACTCGGAACAGGTCGGAGAGGTCGCGTTTGGACCTGCGAATTCAAGTTGATGTCGAATTAACAAAATATAATAGGTAATACAGCACTATATATAGATACTGCCTAACGACGAAAAGCTATTTGATAGTACAGTGATATCATGTGTGAACTCTATCAAGAGAATGCTGTTGAGAACACAAAAAGGTATAACACAGTCATCAATTCATTATTGATCATATCAACAATGTCAATGGAGATTTGACTGACTACAAGTGCAAAAATCGTGCTTCCTGTAGCATCTATCCGTTCTGGACATTACGATTCCCAAAACTGTATATTTTTTCGCATTGTTATGGTTACCACTCGGGTTAGCACACCATACACTCCCAGGCATCATGAGCACGGACCTTTTGGATCTTTCAGAAGACCTAGTGAGACAACAAGAGCAATATTTCAACTCCGTATAGTAAGCAATACAGACATGGAACAAAATATGTCTACTTTGGACAATTGGAAAATGTGTTTTTCAACAAATTGTCATCTCTCACCATATATAACGCTGACAATACAACTCTAGACTCATAAAGTCATAATTGAGGCTAATCAACTCATTTTCATACCACCACTACCAAATTATCTGATATGACATTCACCTATTATGGAAGTGGTTGTATAATGTATATAAAATGTCTCGCAACTGCTCGCATCAATAATAAAGACATGGGTTGATAATTTTTTCATTCGTCAGACCAATAAGCTGTTAATCAATATTCATACACGAGTCGATTCTTTTTTAATTTAACTTATAATGTATTGGCAATCTTGAAGAAACGATAATTGCTAGTAGTTTATCGGTGACCAGAGGTAGCTGTAAAATATTGTAATTCTAGTGGATATTATGGAGACCAGGGCCGGTCAGAGGGGATTTTTTTTTCGGGGTTCGAAATCAAAAAGCGTAACATTGAAACAGTTTCAACTGAATATTTGATTGAATCAATCAATTCTGAATCAAACAAAATGATTGTTTGATCCAATTTAATATCTCTTCATGTAAGATTCATGAATGTGCTTGATTGAATAAGATCCAGAGTTCATGCAAGACATATTCACTTGATTCAAACTTCAAATTCGCTCTGAAACAAGATATTGATTTACTCATTTCAAGATTATATTTTGTCGTGCAAATATGACACTTTTATTTGCTTCATTCAATTAAATTTTTCTTGATTCAACAATTACTTTATTTCCGTGAAACTACTAACCTTTCATTTTGCTGCTTCTCTCTCCTTTCCCTAGCAGCCTCTTTGATCTCCTTGTGCCTGAGGCTGCACTCCTTCCTGAGCTGCGTATAGTTCATCCACAGGAACTCTTCTGGAGCGTTCCTGCCGTCCAGAGATTCCATGGTAACGTTTGAGGTAGCTGCTAGATCACTTAGATCTCTCTTAAAATTAAATAGGAACGATTCGGTTTGGCCTCTATCGTGGCCGAACTCGCAGTCTATCACTTGATCTTCGTCGTCGTAGATCAGCTGGATGAAGTGGGCACCGTGGGCTAGTTGCCGAAATTTGAGGCCACTAGTCGACCTGAAACGAAAACAGGGCAGTCAGTACTAGAAAGATTACTCTTGTACCTTTTCTTTGGAAATTACACTACCACCGACAAAATAATCGATCCAAATTTTCAAGAAGTTGGCGACCCCTAAATGGCAGAGAATTGTTTACATTCAAAATCTAAATGGCGATAAGCCAAGAAGAGCTGCAATAGTCAGTTTTTGGTTTGTTTCCAGGTCATTTTCGTTATATTCAATGTTGTTAAATTTAATAATTTGAAACTCTTGTATTTTTTTCAAGATGGAATTCATTGGCACAATTGAGAAAATGAACTGGGAGTAATAGATGTGTCTTGATAACGAAACAAGAAATTACATGGTGTACATCTGAGCCACTTCATATGGAGTTTCAAATTCATAGTAAAATGGCCCTCTTTGGGTAACCTACTTTGTATAATCAGGACATCTCAATATATCATATAGGCATAAATTGACTAATTTGCGCGATCACTTTTAGAACTCAATAGTTTTAGAAAGATTCATTAACTACATATTCATGAATCTTTGTAAGGATAGTAGCTACTTTCAAACTTTAAGTCCATGCACAAGGTTCCTCAGAGCTAATCAAAATCAAGTCACGTCTTGTATTGTCTCTGGATTTGTATGCAGTTGAATATGTTAACACTAGTGTTGAATTTATTCGAAACATTCTGGTGTCTAAAACTACTGTTATTCATAAATGAATTATGATTACTGTGAATATATTGAACTAGAATCACCACCATCAGTACTCATGATAATTGAGTCAACAAATAACAATATCAAAATTTCTTTGAAGGAGACACTCATATAAATCTCAGACAACTATTATGCAAGGAAAGGAAATATGCCCCTTTTCCAAATATCCAAACGTGCCTCGATTCAAACTGATCTAAGTGGCAGAAAGTCAATATTTCCGTGAATATTTCACCCTCGTCAAAAGATAATATCCGATGGACCAGTATAAAACTCATGTGGTGCTCACACTAGAAGTATTCTGATCCACATGTTGAGTTTCACACTGGTTTCTGTTTTTCCTTTTTTTCACAGATGTTATTAAATTTGTAATTTTCTTGTTCTCTTAGGATGAATAGTGAAGCAATGAGAAGCTCAACAACAATTACAATTAGGTAATAATTTTCAGCAGGGTAGGCAGTATCATCATCAACAACCGTTATTTTTCATTTTTATTTTATGAAGGTATGCGATGGCTGTGCCTACCTTTCCTACCCTGACGAACCGCCACTGATTCTCAGTGTTTCTTCAAAAAATAATTCAAAAACTCTAACAAACCTATAGTGGAGGAGGCGTTCTCCTTGGAGTCCTTGGTGATATTAACTAACAGTCTGCACAAATAGGTGCCGAAACAAAACAAATGTAAATAAAGAACCAGCATAAATAAATACGATTATAGAACCACCTAGGAATGGAATACTATCTTTGTTAACTTGGACGTTTGTTGAATATTCATGTGTACTTGAACCGCATCTTATAATCCTGGCCACGAAAAATTCCACCAACTAAGATAAACAACCCTCACCGCACTTCAACCCTCTTGTCCGTATGCCTTGCTTTTTTTTCTCCCAGATTTACATACAATAATATCATGCATTTAAATTCCTCACAGATGTATAGAAATAACTTAAACAGTGGCTTTTAGACGGAATTATGGAGATAAAGTTGTTGATGTAGAAGCAGGTAGACTACAATGACAACCCTGTTGTTCTCTCCCACAAGGGTGGGGCTCAACAGCATGATATATTGTATTATAATAAAGCACCTTGTTTGATAATCATATCTTGTGTTTGAAGATTCATATTCAGTATATGAAATTCTGTCTGTGGTCAACTACATAGATACAGTGCACCATTTTTGAAAATACTAAAAAATTAGTACATTCAACAAAACTATTGTTATTTACACGAAAAAAAAAGTTTTGTTAGACCAACAAAATAATTTTGGTCATTATTTCTTTGTTAAATTGAACACAATTTTGCGAAATTAACAAAATATATCTGGATTCCAAATGAGCAACCTATTCAAAGAGACAAAATAATTTGTTCGAAATATTTGCTTACTTGAACAAAAGTTTCATTTCATTCAACAACATTCATAGTTGACATAAAACAAGTTTTGTTGATCCAACTATCATCTCATTGTTCAATCAATCATATGCATTTTTTTGTCTATTCTTGAAAATTACATTAATATTGACAAATATTTAACTAAATACAACATCATATTTCGTTGAGTCAACAATCATTTCATTGTGCAATCAATCCAATTTTTTTTTTTTCAATGGACAAAATTGAATTGATTATGACATTATATTTTGTTGATTCAACACATCACTATCAAGAAATATGTTGTTATTTCAAACAAATTACTTTGTTTTTGTTGAACAGAATCCACAAATATATTATATCAAACGAATATTTTGTTGAATGATTATCTAGTTGCATTTTCGCCACTAGGTGGCGTTTCTTCCAACCTTTCTACGCTCGCCTAGATTGACGATCTATTCATACTCGAAAGATATATTTTTCTTATATCACCCATACATACATGCAAAAACAATATATACCGACAATTTTTAGATCTGTTTTAATATCTGAAAAGGGCGAGAAAAAATCAACGAAGTTCAATACTTTTTACGAGCCGATGTCCAATGTGATTATTTTTTTTCACTAACATGCGAACAATTCCACTTTTCCGCATTGTGGAAGAAACTTTCAACACTCAAACGAGAGCGAAAAAGAGGAATTCGGATTTTTTCCGCACGCTAGTAGACAATATAGTGTATACCTAACTCGTGCGTAAAATGACTTTTCGCACTAGTTAGGTAAACTCATTGGGTAAACTACTATTTCATACTACCCTGCGGAAAAGTCCATTTTCCGCACTCATTTTAGTGTTGTAAAAGTCACAGAAAAAAACTCTCAACACTAAAATGAGTGCGGAAAATAGAAATTTGTGTTTGTTCCGCACTTGTTAGGTGAACTACTATTTCGAAATAGTTATAGCTCGATTATGAATCATATAGCAAAAGTTATGATCAGATGAACATTTTGACAAAATCAACATAACGTTCGGTATCTCAATTATAAAAGACGGTAAACCATCACCAAATGGTATCCTCTATTTACAGGTATCGTATGCACAGGATTATCCATCGAAAAGGCCCACCCTTACTATAAGGAAGTTGAATGCCGCAATGAGGTTTTTCCAGAGCCCTTATATAGTAATTTTCCTAACAAGTGCGGAAAGTGATTCTTTCCCGCACGTGACTGCCGTTGACACGAACGACGCGAAGCGGAGTTCGGGCAAGCAGTCGAGTGCGGGAAAGAAACTTTCCGCATGAGTTAGGAACTAGTAATTTTCCTAACAAGTGCGGAAAGTGATTCTTTCCCGCACGTGACTGCCGTTGACACGAACGACGCGAAGCGGAGTTCGGGCAAGCAGTCGAGTGCGGGAAAGAAACTTTCCGCATGAGTTAGGAACAATATTTTTTCTACAAGCGTAGGAAATTGATTGAATCGTTCAATTAATTATTCAAGCAAATAGGAACAACTAACAAGAGATATATATTCTCTATCTATTATTTATTAGTAATAGCTATTGTGAACTTACAGTTTGACGCATTATGTTGGTTAATTCATTGCGGAAGCCATCAGCAGGCCCATTAGGAGTTTGGTCTCTAGGTTCCAGACACTTCTATGAAATGAGCCAAAAATACCTATTCTTCATTCGGTTTTTTCATTTCTTTATTGTTGCACCATTCAATAAAACGCGTGTATAGCTTCTCATACCTTTCACTTCGTTGGTGATAACGCATCTGTATCAAATCCCTATAGCTAGAAGTTTCTGATCACATTGTGGCATTTCCACTGAATCGAAAATGACAGTAACGCTGTGTCTGTCAGTTCGACAATTTCAAACTCATTTGAGGTTTGCTTGGCATGACAAATTGACGTTTCCCGTCAGATCAATCCAAATCTATAGGGGGATTTTTATAATAATCAATTTTTATTTCTCAATATTTCTTAATTTTTACAATAAATAGTGCAATTTGATGGATGATTCTGAACATACATACTTAATACTGCAACAAACAAACTTAAACTTTTATATTCCATCACCAACCACTTATATTACTAGCGATTTTATCATATCTTTGTTTTCCCGCATTGTTGCGGGAAAATGACACTTCCCAAACTAAATTGCGTGCGGGTATAGGGTGAATCACGCACGGTTGTAGAAAAAATATTTTTTCTACAAGCGTAGGAAATTGATTGAATCGTTCAATTAATTATTCAAGCAAATAGGAACAACTAACAAGAGATTTATATTCTCTATCTATTAATTATTAGTAATAGCTATTGTGAACTTACATAGTTTGACGCATTATGTTGGTTCATTGCGGAAGCCAGCAGGCCCATTAGGAGTTTGGTCTCTAGGTTCCAGACACTTCTATGAAATGAGCCAAAAATACCTATTCTTCATTCGGTTTTTTCATTTCTTTATTGTTGCACCATTCAATAAAACGCGTGTATAGCTTCTCATACCTTTCTTATAAGACTTCGTTGGTGATAACGCATCTGTATCAAATCCCTATAGCTAGAAGTTTTTGATCACATTGTGGCATTTCCACTGAATCGAAAATGACAGTAACGCTGTGTCTGTCACTTCGACAATTTCAAACTTATTTGAGGTTTGATTGGCATGACAAATTGACGTTTCCCGTCAGATCAATCCAAATCTATAGGGGGATTTTTATAATAATCAATTTTTATTTCTCAATATTTCTTAATTTTTACGATAAATAGTGCAATTTGATGGATGATTCTGAACATACATACTTGATACTGCAACAAACAAACTTTAACTTTTATATTCCATCACCAACCACTTATATTACTAGCGATTTTATCATATCTTTGTTTTCCCGCACTAGTGCGGGAAAAAATTTTCCCGCACTGTTGCGGGAAAATGACACTTCCCAAACTAAATTGCGTGCGGGTATAGGGTGAATCACGCACGCTTGTAGAAAAAAAATTTTATAGGGTGATTCCTGGAAGTGTGAAAAACAACAAATAATTTTTTTTTTAATGGAACTACCTGATTTTTATATTTTGTTCGGAATCTGTGATTCCTCGTGATCATTAAAAAAAATATATATATACAGTATGAAATCTTCTATTTTCACTTCGTTGTCACCATACTTTTTTGACCCTAGAAAAACAATTTTTGTGTGTTGGCTTCTACAGATATCGTGCTAACCATGAATGACGATATATTTGACAGTTGTATATTGCATCATCACAATACCTTCCCAAACTGAGTGAGTGATTACCAATGAATCAGACAAGAATTGTTTCATGGGGTCGAAATAGCGGTTACAAAGAAGTGAAAATACACTCATCAGTAAAATAATTCATCCACTTAAATTTATGAGGAATCTCACACAATGTGGAGATTTGAAGAAATGAGGCATATCTCTAAATTATACAGAGTGACACAAAAAGTGTACTTTTACTCCAATTTTAAAACAATGTCTGCAGTGGCTAAGCTGGTACATCGTGTAATTTTTCCTGAAACCCTTGTAACTTTCACAAAAAAGCAGTTATCGTAAGAAATAGAAGAGGAAAACGTACGTAATAAACGTAGCTTGATGGTTGACTGAGAAAATGAACGATATACCAGCTTAGCCACTCCAGAGATTGTTTTAAAATTGGAGTAAAAATGCAATTTTGCGTCATTGCTTGTCATGCCTTAGTTATTGAAATCTCAAACTTGTGTGAGAGTCCTTATGAGTTCACCTACGAAATTGAAAAAAAAAAACGAACAAATCAGACTTGAATTAACCAAGTTATTGTTGACCACATTTTTTCAATATTTTAAGTGGATTGATTATTTTGTCGGTGACTGAAGAAGATATCATACTGTATATATTTTTTTTGTGATCACAAAGAACTGGTTGTTAAATATTTAAAAGAAATTATTTCTTGTTTGTCACGTTTTCAGGGATCATCCTGTGAAACTTCGGATAAGGGTTGTGGGTATTAGGCCTCATTGCGGTATTCAATTTCAGCATACACTGTAGAAAATTCCTCTGAGTGAATGCATATGTGGTTGTGAGTGAATTGACTGATTGAAATTTTTGAGTGAATTCTCAACTCAAACTAGATATTTTATCAAGTTTTCATATCAATGAGAATGTTTATAACAAATTTGATTGAATCGGTTCATGAATTACCATTTTACACAGTCAAGTAGGGTGAAATTTCAACTCAATCGGGCGTGGACCGAAATTGATTCATTATTGCGTGTATTGTTTTTTTTTTATAAAAGATGTCGTGAATATAGTGGTGGGATTTTTCGATAGATAACCCTGTACTACATTCACGTCTGAAATACCCTGTATTATATTCCTAGAGATGCCATGCTATATTATGAAATGGATAAGAAACACCAATCGCTAATTAGACTCCCCACAGGGAGTAGCGGTTTCATCCAACTAAGTACCTACATCACAAATATTTCTGAAGTTGTATATATATAAACTATCGGTATATGTAAAAAAAATAGTGATCATTGAGTTTATGGACAAGAGGAATGCATAGCATAATTATTGCTATCACCTTTTCAAAACATACCTATTTCTTCGTATAAAACATTGGGGTAACATCAGGAACACCCCTCGGAAATTATATAGGTACACAAAAAACTTAATGGTCTTTAAAAACCAGCCCACCCCTTCTGAATATCTTGAAAGGGTAGGTATATGAGGAGACCGATCCGAATTTGTTTATCTATTTTTACGAACAACCGCGGTTCAAAATATTAAACTCACACCCTTCATATAATAACAGGGAGTTGAAACATTCTTAATAAGTCTTGAAATATATTTGTATTCTAAAAATTCAGGTACAGGGTGATTCCGTATTTAAACAGCGTCTACAGAGTTCATCATTGGGGTTAGAAAAAAACTTCAAATACAAAAGTTTGAGGTGAAACAAAGCTATATCACTGATATAAAAAATATGGGTATAACAACTTCGTTATTTTTCAATGGAACACCCTATATATTTTCGATAGAATTGAAGATCATTCTTTCCTGATAGCCGTTTATGAAATATTGTAGAATTTGTTATAGTTTTATTTTACCAAATCGCAATTGACATGAAGAATCAACAACACATATGCAGGTTGTCATCAATCAAACTTGCTGTCATATTTTCATTGCATAAAATTTGTTATTATTGTTATTCTTATTTATGTAGATTGAACGAATCATTTCCAATTTTCCATCGTCACTGTAACCCATATTTCTTCCAAAATTCTATATGCAATGAACATATTATGACAGAAAGTTTGATCAATGACAACCTGCGTATGTGTTGTTGATTCTTCATAGCAACTGAGATTTGGTAAATTCACATTGTAACAAAAAAATGTAGTCAACGATGCATCGAATATCATCAACCTATATATTTCTGAAATCAGAAAAGAAAGATCTTCAATTTTTTGAAAATATCGAAGTAGGTGTCATTTCATTATATTACCAAACAAACCCTACAACTTTTCTATTTGCAGTTTTTTTTCTATACAATACCACAATCGATTTCTGTTTATATAAAGGGTGGCATCATTTGAAACCTCACAAAATTACGCCCTCACACAAAAAGGTACCACACTATACAAAAATGGGAGCATGAGGTCTAGTGTTTCATTCGAGAGGTATCAACTCTCAAAATGACAATATAATTTTCGGGAAGCAATCATTAAGTGATTCGATGATGAATGTTTCAGAACAATACCATAGACTACAGAAGATAGTAATCTTTGGCAATACTTACATTTTCTCTTCTATTTATAATAAGGAATGACTTTTCTCTTTTATTTTAGTCAATTTGAATTGGAAAGCATAAGATCGATAAAGTTCATGTGATAACGAGTTGAAATAAGAAGCAAATAAAAGGGAAACATGTCCCTTCTTCGAATACCAAACGTGCCGCGATTCGAACTGATTTGAGTTAGTGTTGGAAGGTCTATATTTCCGTGAATATTTCGCCCTCGTCGAAAGATAATATCCGATGGACCAGAGTAAAACCCTACAACCTTTGTATTTGAAGTTTTTTCTATCTTCAATGATGAACCCTGAAGGAGCTATTTGAATATACGGAATGAACCTGTACAATAGATACCTGTTTTCATATAGGGTACTCTCAAAATGACAATATGGTTTTCTTGAAGCAATGATTAACTCTTTCAAGAACTTTGGTGCAGAATTTGAACCACGAATTTCTTGGAGTTAGAGGTATGCTGGGACAAAATAAATCCCGCTCTGCAATGGGCTTATAATTTGAGGTACGACGGTTTATTTTCTCTCCCGCCCCATATAACTCACTCATATTGGTCTTTTGAATCCTATGTTCTGATCTGAAGCGAATTAAACAATACATTATTAGTAAATAGAACAAACTCGAAACTTGTTCCGTACGTTGTGTTTCTCCTCTCGAATTGTGGTTGCAAATTTCATGCTCATCATGTGATTACATTCTTTGTTGCATAAAATACTATCTAGGTAACATAGGTAACCTACTTGTTTTCAGGATTTTCAACAGTAACCTACTTGTTATATTTTTCCAATTTATATGTTTATTTTTCGTTCACAAAATGTGAAAATCTACGCTGTTTGAAATTTGTCCCACCATACAATATGACCAAGACATTTTTCAAGGATAATGATGAGGGCAATGATGTCGAATTCAATTTTAACAACATTGAACTGTCTGATATGAATATCGGGACACCAGTACTTATATATGGATACATGGGACCCAGAAGATTTCATACCCCTATCGCGGAGTTGAATCCAGGGATAGAGAAAAAAATGGTGTGGAATGGATGAGATCGTTCAGCCAAAAGATTTCAATAGAACCTCTGGAGTGGCTCAAGATGGATAATCTCTCTCGTCAGTTCATCACGAACAAATTATTGAATCACATAGTTTTCCAGATCAATCTATATACTAAGCAAAAACATCAGACGACTGGAAAGGCATAATGAAGGAACATCAGATATTCATGAAATCTTTTCCTTGGATGTCACTGTAGTCAACTCATTTATTCTTCACAGAATATCTATATCTTCCAATTTTATCGATTAAAGATTTGATCATTCAGCCGTCAATGAATATCAGTATCTTCATCGAGAACATCAACCGAATGGACGATTCAAATAGGGAGAAACACTCAGTCAAATCCCGGTGATGAGAGTCACACAGGGTGCTCATCAACCTATTCGAACAAGTCGATGCAATTCAGGAGAGTTTGAAGTTGTAACAAACTGGTTGTGTGTTTCACTCTCTGTCTTGCAAAGAACTTTCACAGTGATTTGAAA